TCTCCCCCTCCTCCTCCTCCTCCTTCTTCTTCGTACCGGGGATCGAACTCGGGTCCTTGCACTTGCGCAGCAGGCGGCGAAACCACTGAGCTAAATCCCCGGCCCTCTTATAATTATTTAATTATGAAATTTTGTTTTATTTTTTTCATAAAGTAAAAAAAATTAAAAGAAATAATTAGAAAAATAAGGCCAGGGATTTAGCTCAGTGGCACTGTGCCTGCCTTGAAAGTGCAAGGTCCTGAGTTCAATCCCGGTACCAAAAAGTAAATAAATAAATAAAAATAAAAGTAAACTTTGGCTATAGAATGATATACAGTGTAATAATTAATGTTATTCTCTTATTATTTGATTATGAAATTTTGTCTTATTTTTTCATAAAATAAAAAACTTTTTCCAAGGAAATGAAACTTTAGAAAAATAACAAAAGACTTTGGAGCTAGAGAGAATATCTAAGTTCAAGATGTAACTATGCCTTTTATTATTTGTGTTACCTAAGGCACATAATTTAGCCCCTTAAGCTACTATTTTCTCATCTGTCCTCACTGCTAACTGTGATGGTTTCTCATGGGGTTGTTGGATTAAAAGAATCGGGAACCCCGAGCGTCCAAGGTAGCGGCGTTTCCAGCTCCTTCCGGGAGGCGGCGCCACTGTGCCCCGGGTCAGTGAGTGGCCGCACTCCGGGGAGCAGTCCACACCCACGGGAATCAGCCGTGAGTCTCTGACGCTCAGCCCTCGGCCTCGGGTCCGGAAGCGTGGGTTGGCAGAGTCTCCTGCCCCGAGGGCAGAGCTTCGGGGCTGCAGGGCTGGGGGCGGGGACGCCGCAGCTCCCGCCCTCCCCAGGGCTCTGAGTGCTTCGCAGAAGGGCGGCTTTGCATCTCTCTGCTCTGGGCACGGGGAGGGGCGACAAATTCGCCTTCAGTATATTTTAGCTCCTTGTGACTGCTGTTTATAGTGGAAATCATATTATAACAGTGTTAAAGGAAGTTTTTAAAGGTGAAATATAAATCAACTACAAATACAGTGCTTGATGCAAAAACTGCTTTTGTGTTGATTTCTCTCTAGTGGTTTTTTCTTTTTCTTCCTTTTTTTTTTTTTTGGCACTACTGCAGATTAAACCCCAGCCTTGTGCATGGCAGGCAAGCACTGTATCACGGAACCACACTCACCCCTAGGCCTTTTTATTCTGAGGCAGGCTCTGGGAAAGTTGCCCATGTTGGCCTGGAGCTTGTGATTCCCCTCCCTCAGCCTCCCAACTGGTTGACAGGTGTGAACTGTCACACCTAGATCCCTCTAGTTTTTGTTTCTGTGCTTCTCCAGTGTCTGTGCTTATCCAGTTTCATACTCTGCCTACTGTTTCACACTCTTATCCTTTTTTCTGTTATACAGTCTTCATAGCATTATAGAGGACTGCAGAGTGAGGTGGGTGGGCCATAATTAATCCAGTTTGAAAATCAAAACGTCCACCTCTTACATACTGTAGGAGAACTCCACATATGAATGATAGCAAAGAAGACAAATTATAAAAGAATGGGATAGCCAAGTGCAATGGCTCATGCTTGTAGTCCCAGATATTCAGGAGGCTGAAGCAGGAGGATTAGAGTTCAGGACCACTCTGAGCAACACGGTGAGATCTTGTCTCAAAGAAGAAAGGAAGAAGAAAGGGATAGCTGGAAGGAGATGGGAAGAAAGAGAAAGAAAGAGAGAGAGAGGGAGAGAGAGGAAGGAAGGAAGGAAGGAAGGAAGGAAGGAAGGAAAGAAAGAAAGATGGGAAGAAAGAGAAAGAAAGAGAGAGAGAGGGAGAGAGAGGAAGGAAGGAAGGAAGGAAGGAAGGAAGGAAGGAAGGAAGGAAAAAGATCTAAACCTCCTTAGGGTAGGAGGAAAGAAAAGGGAAGGGATATTTCTTGCCCAAGAGCCCTGAAAACCTATAATTTGATTTTGCAGAAGACTTCTACCAAATGCTTTATTTAACATACCTATTTTTAAATTTGAGAAAAGTAAAAAGAAGTGATATGAGATGGGAGTGCGGGGGTTCGCTGCATTATTGTGTACTTTTGTGTGCGTTTTAAATTTTCCATAAATAAAAAGGTTTTTAAACAGAACTTGCTCACTGAAAGCTTTTCCTGGCCCCTTGGGAACAGCTGAAGCAGCTCTTGCTGGCCGCGGGGGCCCTGTGGGGAGCACTCAGCCCTCCTCCCAAGCCCCCCCAGGCTCCCAGAACCCCCAGGCCCACTCTGGGGATGGCAACCCTGGGATAGGGCGCCCTGGCCACGTGCAGAGGCCCTTCTCGGGCACCCGGAAGCCTCCCCGGGTCTTCATGAGGAAGAGGTGGGAGAGGAGGTGGCCGATGCTGGCCAGGCTGCCTCCTCCTAGGGCCCAGGGGTCCCCAGGATGCCCATGTGGCCCTGCCGCCCCCTCCACTCCCAGGCCAATCCCTCTCGTCCTCGTCCTCAGATGCGAACCCTCCTTTCAGCGCTCGTGTCAGCGCTCTGTCAGCACTTCGAGGCCCCAGGGGTCCCCGCCCAGAGACCCTGGAGAATCCAGAGGCCTAAATCTTACATTTCAGTCCACAAGAAAAAAGGAAAGCCAGACTATGAGGAAAATTAATACCATGAAATTAATAATTATCACTATGGCAATCATTGGTGCTTATTGAATGCTTACGCTGTGCCAGATGTTTCTGTCACCATGCATGTGTGAAATCATTTCATCTTTACAGCTCGGTTGCGCAGGGAGGAAATCAAGTGCTGTCCCTTTTTACTTTATTTCAAAAAATACCATGAAAGGGCCAGGATTTAGCTCAGTGGTTCCGCCACTTGCCTCGTAAGTGCAGGGTCCCGAGTTCAATTCCCAGTACTAAAAAAACCCAAAAAACATGAGAAAGACATTTTATAGAAGAATAAAAAGCCATGGTTGTCCTTCTGCTTCTCTTACAGAGAAGTATTCTAAATTATTTCATTTTCTAACTTATTTTCTAGCCCTTGTTCATAGTCAACGTGGTTTTTAGTGTCATTCTGTGTTTTGTTTTCTTCATTTTGTTTTATTTTGTGGTACTGGGGGAGTGAACCCAGGGCCTTCACACTGAGCTATGTCCTTAGCTCTTTTTTACTTTTTATTTTAAAACAAGTTCTCACTCAGTTGCTAAGTTGCCCAGGCTGGGGTCGAATTCAAGATCCTCCTGCCTCAGCCTCCCAGAGTGCTAGGACTACAGACAAATGCAACGAAGCGCAGCTCAACGTATTTTTTTTTTCAACATATTTATCAAATAAATTTCTTCTTTGCCTAAAAATGACACATGCTCATATAAAAAACTCCAGACCATAAACAAGTAAAATAAAAGAGCAAACTAGGGAGTTGATATTTAAGAACAGAATGCTGTTTTTGTCTGGGCCCTGTCAGTCCTGCATCAGTTGCTGTCACATGAGTCACAGAAGTAAAATATTTCATGGACTCAGATGTTCTTGCTAATTACTGAAGAAAAGTGAACTTGAAGTTGGTGTTAGGAAGTATCAAACCTCCCGATGTGCCAAAAACTGATCAGTCCTCAGAATAGATGCTTTTTGTTTTTTGGCACCAGGGATCGAACCCAGGACCTTGAGCTTGTGAGGCAGGTGCGGTGCCACTCGCTAAATCCCCAGCCCAGAATAGATGCTTTTATTTCTAGAATAAAAGCCAAGGTCTTTGGTACAAGGCATTGGAAATGACCGACATTTTCTTTGTGTTTATCAGAGACCCAGGGCTCCCATCGCTAAAGCAAGAGCTCTAGATGTCTGTTGCCTGTGTTCGAAGCCTTCCAATGGGAAAAGGCAACATTCCTTTGAGCAACAGAGGGAGATGGGACCACTGTGTTCTGCAACTCCTGGGCAAAAATTGTTATTCAGATTTCTGTGAAGGGTTTGAGCCCGTAAAGAATCTGTTGAGAAGGAGAAAGACTTGTAATGGTGTATAATTCCACAGCCCTCAGGGCCTTAGTAGTCTCCAGCCTGCTGCTCCTATTAGAGATAAGGAAATAGACCCAGAGGTCTGGGTGGGAGGGTTGGAGAGGAACAGGGAAAGTGTACACAGTCTGAGACCAGAGTCCAGGTTTCCTAATTCACAGTCATTTGGAAACAGTCTTTCCTATTCGTATCTTGGGAGATGGGCATGTGGGGAGCATATATTTAAAATGAAGCCCAGACAGGCCATTTTATTAGTCAGAAAGTAAAGTGGAGCTAAGGGTATCGGGGGTGTGGCTCAGTGGTAGAGGGACAACCCCCCCCCATCAAACTTTCTGGAAAGCTCCCAGCCTTCTGAATGAATGTTAACAGGTTTTGCAGGATTAGAGTAGTAGAAACAAAGCTCTCGCTAAAAACTTTCAGCTAGTAGTTATCTTTTTGCTCTTTTAAATACAGATTTTAAATAAGGAAATTTAAAAGCTCTGTCATTCAGGCTTCTTGTGTCAGCACCGGGAGAGGATCCGCTGGTGGGTGGTAATGGTAGAGCAATGGTTTGTGGGCTTGAGAGCCGGTGGCCTGCTTATATCAACCTCACTTGTGGAAGTCAGTTCAGGGCCGATCCGGGCTGTACAGAAAGGCAAATTTTGGTTGCTGCTTTGGACCTTGAGGTCTACACATCTACTTCAAGGGGTGCTCAGGAAGTAGCTGAGCACACCCCTGAAAGCCACTCCTGTTTTGATATTCTTTTTTTTTTTCTTTTGGTACCAGGGATCAAACTCAGGACCTTGCACTTGCGAGGAAGCTGCTCATGTTTCCACAGATGTTCTGCCAGAGCACAGAACACCAGGATCAAAAGTAGGACTATTCCCCAAGAGAAGGAGCCCTGTATGGGGGGCCCGAGTGGCGTCGGGGGCCTGTTCCCACTGTGCCTGCAGCTTGCCGTCCTCGGCATCCTCATCATCGTGGTGTTCGTCTACATCACCATGGAGAAGAAGCCACTCTTCGGTTAGGCGCCTGAGGAGCAAAGCAATGCACCACACCTCAGGTCACCCCGCCAAGCCCTTCTGCTCTGGGGAGGAACCCAGAGTTAGCTGAAGGGGCTGTGGCTCTTGGAACCAGTCCCCTGGTCCTGTGCTGGGTGGATGCAGCCAGGCCTGGGCACAGCCAGGTGAGAGAGAAGCAGGCTGCTGTGTCAAGACAGTGATGGTCAGCAAATCCCCTGAGCAATGTAAGTCATTGCTAAAGGTACTTCCACGTAAAGCAGACTTCCAAACAAGAAACTGTCTGATGTGTTCCTCTTCTTTTCTCTTTCTCTCTCTCTCCCTTTCACTCTTTTTTTTTCTTTCCAAACAAAAAGATTTTACATTTTTATTCCTGAGCCAACCTACTAGTACAGAGAACAGAAACAAAGGGAAAATTAGATTCTCAATAAAACCTATCCAGCTGGCCACACAGCGGCAGCTTGGTGGGGCAAAATGATAATGACACCGAGGAGACCGCGCAAATGTGAGCATCTCAGGTGCCATTCCCTTGTAGGCCTGGCTTGCTCTTCTTCCTTAAGCTGTGCCTGACTTTGTTACCAGTTTTTATCCAAATCCACTGGGGAACAGGATGCGTTTCCTTTGCTTCTTGGCCAGGAATTGCTCGGTCCTGAGTCTTGCGAGGGTGGAGGGATGGAGTCAGTGATGGTGGAGGGGACGGCACGGTAGCTAGGATGACAAGCTGGAGATCACCTTTTATTCATTCTCCAAACTGTACAGCCAAGCTCGAGAAAGGCTACAAGGGCTAATTAACAAAAGACAGGGCTGGGGTCTGGCTCTGGAAAGCTCTTAGCAGGCCTGGGCTCTGGGTTCAATCCCCAGTACAAAACACACCAAATTAGGAACGTGGTTAAGCAAACCCAGAGAGATGCGCAGCGTCACGAAAACAGTGTGGAACAAGCTAGCATTTTTATCTTTGATACTTAGAAAGGGTCTAAAAAATGAAGGCCTGAGCAGGGAGGGTGAGGACCATGGCCCTTGATGCTGCGCAGAGCTGTGTAGGCCCTGGCTCCTCTCTTTCTTGGCTCTGGGAATGAGTTGTTCTCTCGGAGCTTCAGCAGCAACTTCTGACAATGGGGACAGAACAGACCCCTGAGGGTGGTGAAGAATTTGAAGAAATAACACATATAAAGTACTTCTGGGGCTCACACCAAGGTTGCCGTAGGCAATCAGCACGGGCTGATGCAATGTTACCGTACAGTGTTCTTCCTCAGGGAGGAGCTGGTTCTAGGTTCAAGAAGCTATCGAACCAAGAAATGTGAGGTAGCAGTTTTCGTAGTAGTCAAAACAGAGCCTACCCAAATATCCAACAATGGGGAATAGTTTAACAAATGGAGTAATAGTCTCCTCCTCCTCCTCCTCCTCCTCCCTTCCCCTCCCACCTCCTCTCCTTTCCCTTTTCTTCCTCTTTCTTTTTATGGTACTAGGGATTGAACTCAGGGTCTCCACACTGAGCTATATCCTCAGCCCCCTCCCTTTTTAAATTTAGGGCTTTTGTTTGTTTGTTTGTGTTTTTGTTTTCAGACACAATTTAGCTAAGTTGCCAGGGCTGAGGTCCTCAAACTTTCGAACTTCCTGCCTCAGCTTCCCGGAGTGCATGGGATTATGGGAGTACACTACCACATGTGGATAGGAAGTGTATAGCTTCTTGATAGATGATGTTACAGTAATGTGATTTAGCTCAGTGGTTCCGCCGTCTGCCTCGAAAGTGGAAGGACCTGAGTTCTATCCCCGGTACCAATAAATAAATAAATAAATAAATAAATAAATAAATAAATAAATAAAATGTTAGCTGCATGTGATGGTGCATGCCTGTAATCCCAGCACTCAGGAGGGTGAGGCAGGATTGCTGTGAGTTTGAGGGCAGCCCAGGCTACACAGTGAGTTCAAGCCTGGCTTGAACTATATAGGGAGACCCTATCTCAAAAAAGCAAAAAAAAAAAAAATTGTGATCAAGAAAATTTGAAAATGACTAGATTTTTGGTGATATTAAGAGACACTAGCCTCACTGAGCTGCAGCAACCATGTTGCTGTGACCATGAGGTAAGAAGCATAAAAGAAAGGATAAATCAGAGTCACTGGCCTGATACCTCTGAACTGCTGGAATTAGCTCTGTAGTTCAGGCCATCTCATTAATATTTAAGACGGAATGTATGGACTATCTACAGTTCATCACTAGCTGGATGTAATGTATTTAATCCAGAGCAGCAAGAAAGACTCAGAAAGCGAGCATTTAGCTTTAACAGCTTCCATATTAGACAAAGGAGAAGAGGACTGGATTTAAGAATAAGAGGAACCAGCCTTCAGAACCCCCTGCTATCCCTGTTCTTAATAAGATCAAGCGTTATCAAAAATAAAACTCCCCTAGAAAGCCCTCAGTATTTCCAGATTTTGCCAGTGTGTTCTTATGTTTCAGAACCTTCGGATCAGTGTAAAAAACTTTTGAATCTTGTCACTCAGGTGCGGGTCCCTCACCCTCTGCGCAACAACCAAGCCCAAACCTGCTTCTTTTTTGTCTCACTTCCCCTTCAGCTTCCTTCTCCTTCCCTTTTTCTCCCCAGTTCTGGGAATCAATGCAGCTGGGCAAACATTGAAGCCACCAAGCTACATACGCCCTCAGCCCTGTCTTTACACAGAGCCCTAACTTGCAGTCCCGCGGGAGTCACTGGGGCTGCAGGCACCCCACTGCCTGCTCAGACCCTGCCTGCTAATGGGCCCCAGGTGATTCCCATACACAGGAAAGTTTGAGAAGTGCTGCTGTGGTCCATCCCTGTCCCATGCTGAAGCGGAGTCGGAGCTGTTGGGTCAGAAATGTGTATTTGGTCTCTGCTCCTGGTTCCTGGCTCACAGCTCCTAAAACCCTGGGAGCCATGGCTGCAGAGTCTCTGTATGCTGATGAGCTGCTAGGCCCCAGGTAGCTTCAGGATGGGGAGTGGTCACCCCAGAATAACGGAGCCAGAATCAGAGGCCAGGCCTTTCAGCCCCACCCCAATCTCTGGGGAGGAGACAGGGGCTAAAGTTCAAGTTGGTCACCCAGAGCCAGTGGTGTAGTCAGGCACACTGCGTAACAAAGCCTTTACAGAGACCCGTGAGCACAGTGCTTGCCAGGTAGCCAGCCGGGCCCAACACTTGGGGACTTAACCCAACGTGCATAGGGGCCTGCAGGAAAGCTCCTGCTGCCAGCTGCCCTAAGCATTTGCCCCAGGGGACTGTCCATCTGAATCTTTACATCTTCCGGAATAAAAGAGTAAACATTTCCCTTGGTTCTGGGGGCCACTGCAGCAAATGAATTAAACCAGAGGAGGGAATGGAAGAAATGCTAATTTATAGCCATGGGTCAGAGGCACAGAGAGACAACTGGGTTTCTGATTGCTATGTGACGGGGCAGGCTCGTGGCACTGGCCCAGGTGGACAGGGTCGATGTGGAACTGAGTTGGAGGACTCCCGGCTGGGGTCCCCTGGAGGATCTGGTGTCACAGCTGCATGTGGTGTGGGGAAAATACTCTACTGACCTGGTGTCAGAAGCAGCGAGGCGAGAGCAGAAAAAACCCCTGGTCGCTCCCATCTCTGATAGATGCTACATAGGCGTCCCGAGGATTTCGGCGAGTCCACCTGGGTCTGTGTGCGGTGGGACAAACTCCACCGGGGAAGCTGTCTCGAAGAAAGAGGCTCAACACATTCAACTCCCACCACTGATTCGCCACTCTCGCGCAGCCGCAGTAAAATGACAAAAATCAGCGTGGGATACAGTTTCGACTGACGTCAAGAATACAAAAAAAATAAATATGGCAAGGATTCGGGAAAAAAGAAACCTTCTGTGCTGTAGGAATGTGAATTATACAGACGCTATGAAGTCAGTATGGAGGCCCCTTGGAAAATTAAACGTAGAGCTGCTGTATGGCCCAGCTCTAGCGCTCCTTGGAATATGCCTGAAAGAATAAAGTTCAGCACACGGCAGGGACATCAGGGCATACCCATTGTACTGTGGCACAATTCACAACAGCCAAGGTAAGGAATCAGCCTAGGTGCCCATCAGTGAATGAATGGATAAAGAAATGATGGTGTGTCTACACAATGGAATTATTCAGCCATAAAGAAAAACAAAATTTTGTCATTTACAGGAAAATGGATGGAACTGGAGGTCATCACATTCAGTGAAATAAGCCAGACTCGGAAAGAAAAGTATCACATGCTTTTCTTAATATGTGGACTCGAAAAAAGAAAGAAAGAAAGAAAGAACGAGAGATGAAAGTAGAAGGGAGACTAATATTAGACAAGAGGAAGGAAATGGGACTGAAATGGAGACTCGGAGGATGATATGATCAAAATATGTCACATGCATGTATGTATGAAACTGAGTATTTTATAAAATTACGATGCACTAATAAAATATATATTCAAAAAAAGATGTGGTCCTTGCTGTCAGGAAACACAGCCTGGCGGGGGAGCAAGAAATCAGCAGACATCACGGTGCTAAGTGACTCCTTCTGGCGGTGGCCCAGGCTGCCCTGCAGCAGCCATGCAGACGTCATGCGTGATGTCACCACAGGAGCAGAAGGCCGAGTAGGATTCAGTCCAAAGGAGGGGGAGGAAGCTGGGCACAGCAACAGGGGAGCCTGCCAGCGGAGCGAGCGTGTTTATACAGCCTCCTGAGAGAGGAGGTGGCAGCTTGGGGAGCCCTGGGGAAGAGTGAAGGGAGCAGCGTGGCTGGGAAGGAAGGAGAATGCAGATCACGGATGCATCTGGAGACCACGTGAAGCCAAGGATGGTCCCTGTTAAGAAAAATTAGAATTCTCCTCCTGGCCAGCAAGCAAGAAAGGGAACTCTTCAATAACAAGCAGTGTCTGGCCCCTGGTTATCCTCAAGTCAGTTTCCACAGCTTCCTGCCTGCCCTCTGGAGAGGGAAAGCATCTAAAGAGGGGTGGTGCATGCCTGGCACCCCAGCACCCTGGGAGGCTGAGACAGGAGGATCACAAGAACCTGTCTCAAAATAAAACATAAAGAAAAAGGCTGGGATATAGCTCAGTGCAAAGGCCCTGGGTTCAATCCCCAGTAGCACAGAGAGAGAGAGAGAGAGAGAGAGAGAGAGCTGCCAGCAAGCTGATCATGACGCAAGTGCTGATGCCAGGAAGGCCACCCTTTCACTGCCACCTTGCCTGAAATTTCTCCAGAATACAAAGACACAAGCTGTGTGCCTAACAGATTTGTCTGATGAAATGGAAAATGTGAGAAATTAAAAT